GGAAGATCGGAAAGAGAGCTCCAACCCCTTGCTTTCAACTGGGATGCCCGTTTGCGGAGAGTCGGCTATCTTTCAAGTCGGGTCTCTCCGTCTTACCCTTCGGGCTCCCAATTGGTGCGGCTGGCTGGAGAGTTTAGATAAAGAGATAGAGCTCAGAACCCCCCTTTCGGGTCGAGCAGTGGTCCACGGTCTCTCTCACTGACTGGACCAAGAGAAAGGCAAGAAGGTACGATAGAGAGGAGGGCAGAGAATTCAGTTGCCAGGAGACTTCCACCCCTTCCCACCAGTGCACTGGATTTCCTATACTCACGCGTCTTCTACGTCGATCCGATCCCAGGACCGATGAATAAGCCGGCTGGATCCCTTTTGCTCCCCGGCTGAACTCCTGGGGCTCCTGATTACCGCCCGGGAGATGGCCGGAGGTCCAAAAGGGTCTTCTCGGGCAAAGTGGCCCGCAGCCGGCTGAAGAATTCGGGGCCCCCGGTCAGCAACCCGGGAGAACCGCTGAAGCCCCACGTTGGGCGCCAAGCTGTTACGGAAAATCTGGGTGCGTATTTACCCTGCCACCCAGCCGATCGGACCAAGTCCGTGGATTCTAGCGGAAGAAAAGGAAGCTCAGCCGGACGCAGGAGCAAAATGCGAAGATCCAAGTTTATTGCGCAACAGGTTCAAAGTGGAATTGAACCCCGAGAATGGGGCGACATAAACTTTTAAAAGTTCCCTCCAAGTCCCAGAATACAGTGCAAGAAACGTCATGAATATATTATGGGAAGGTTGGGTTTCATGGATTGCATCATGAATATATTACACACGTCATGAATATCTCAAGGAAAGGTGGGGTTACACTGATTAACATTTGGGATAAGGGAGGGGGAAATATGCAGAGCGGGTGATATACATAGATAAACATTTATGAAGTACCGGTGGTGGCAAGACAAAGGGCCAGAGATATGCATCGTCTGCCACCTAATATTGCCCGGAGGAAGGGTCAGGCGAAACGATCTGACAGGATTAGAAAGTTCCTGTGTACGTGACCCGCCGTTTCGGGGATTATGGAGGTAGGGGTCACATCATGGAGTCGAAAGGGAACTGGGTAGAATGACACCAGAAGCAAAGAAATAGGAGTTACGGTTGATTTTATATCAATTTCCAAAGATTTCTATGCTTTCCGACCCATTCTGTATCGTTGGCCAAGATCGGAAACAGAACGGAAATATTGTAGCAAGAATGGATACATTGTAACAGGATTTTGACAGTTTTACGAGGTCTCTGGTTTCGGATCCATTGTTCTCACAGTGGGGGGCCGTAAGCAGCTTGTCAGGAGTGAAATGAGGCGTGCAGTAGCTCCCTGAGCTAGCTTCTGCAGAGCGAATGCATGGCTGTGATTGGCTAAAGCGGGGCTCAGTATAGTGAATGGGGGTTCCATTATGATGCGGTCTACTCACGTTAGGAATAGAGCGAGAGGAAGGCATAGGAAAGATCGGGGCTTATTTCGCCCGTATAGAGACAGGAAAAGGAGCCTTTTATTATCAAGGCAGGGGTATAGTGTGGTGCTTGTGCAACGGTGTGGGGGATGAGGGTTCTAGGCAGAGTTGGGCACTGTCGAGGTCATCGCCTCGGGCCCATTCGGGAAGCGATGGAGGGGAAGATGGTTGCCCCCCCCTCTCCTTCCGTATCAGTAGGTAGCTTCTTTTCCTGCATTGAGAAGGAGGTTCTGGGGAGCCAACCTTGTTGGCGCTGAGAGGAAGAGGAGTGTGTATCTTGCTTGTCAGTGCTTGGAAAGTTTTTTCAGTGGGTGGAGCGCTCTTTGCCCTCTGTGTCCACAAACGAAGCGACTCTCAAGTGTAGACATGCTTTCAAGTTCTGTTCCAGAAAACCGCAAGCTGCTTTGGCATCTTATCAGCGTTTCCTCAGTGAAATGTAAAGCAGACAAGCTTCCTTCAAAGACAGCTTGCCCACAAACAGTCAACTTTCCTCTGTAATGTGCTGATGCAGAAAGAGTATTTAGCATGTCCCCAGGCAGACTCTATTGTTCATGTAGGGGAATTGTGAGGCCCTTGAGGTCTGGCCAATACCTCACACAGACTGAATGTGCAATCCCTAACACATGCTCCAGCATCCTATGAGCAGGGACACTGTGGCAGGTGGGCAGAGACTATTTATTTCCACACCTTAGTGTGAGAATGCTTAGCTAAACTGGGGTTAAGCGAAACTGGAAGACAAAGCTTCCCAACTTTTTGCAGAGAACTTCTTCTTTCCCAGCTTCTTTGGAGAAGAGGTAAGTATGTGTGAGCCCAGGGAAGCTAGTCTCACTCCTGTTACAACAAACCAATCTTCTCTCTGGTTCTTGATCAGAGCTGTACTCAAAAACATCTGAAGGGCAACTAGATGGGGAGATTACCTGAAAAACGGTGCCTGGTTTTTTTCTTCCAGGATGTTTTGGACATGTTGGTTCTATGCACCTTAGCGGCGTTATCCCTGTTACAGTGGCCAAAGAAATTCTTACACTACACTTTGTGTGTAACTCAGTGTTTGCTTTCTCCAGCAGAGAGGTTATTTGCAAGTAGACAGCATGGGCATAGGCTGGATTTAATTTGGGCGGGGGGGCAGAACACCCACCTGTTCAGAACCAAGCTACCTGAAGCACGATTGGTCAGAAGCTATACTTATCGCTCAGTCGGGTTGCCAGTTGTGTTGCTAGAATGTGCCACAAGTGACTACATCAAGCATTTCAATTTCAATAATTCTGATTATTTCTACTATTAGTTAAGTGTTTTTAATTTATTGCCCTCCCCTGGCTACACTCATGGTAAACAGTATAACATGATCATGTGTACAGCAGACTAATGGGTTGAGAACGGACCATCAATCAGTGGAAAAGCCTATGCTTTGAATTTAAAGGCTTTGTCCACATTGCCCACGACCTTCCAAACTAGGATTTCCCAAAGCTGGGTCTCCAGCTGTTTTGGGACTACAACACCCATCATCCCTGGTCCTGCTAGCTAGGAAGGATGGGAGTTGTAGTCCAACAGCAGCTGGAGATCCAAGTTTGGGAAACCCTGTATGAACTTAATATACCTCTTCCTCCCTGAACTTAAAAGCCCCAAACGCTACACAGGACAGCTGGCAACCCTGCCCTGCGCTTTCTGAATCGGCAAGGCGACCCTGTGAGGCAGCCTCTCTCAACCTCGGTTCCCCAGATATTGTTGGACTACAACTCCCATCATCCCTAGCAACAAAGCCCAGCGGCCGGGGGTGACGGGAGTTGTAGTCCAGCAACGACACTCGAGGGTGTCCCCGTTTGAAACCGTGAGGTGGGGGAAGGAAAGCGCGCGCAGGAGAAAGCGGCGTCGGCCTTCCGTCCCGCCCCTCACACAGCGCTACACGTGAAGCGCGGCGGCTCGGCCCACCCACTCGAGCGCGGCGGTTGGCTGGGCCGCGCTAGGCCGCGAGGAGGGGGCCGGGCCGCCTAGGCCTCTCCTGACTGGCGCAGGCGGCGCTCGTGACGGGAAGGCGGAGGCCCGGACCCGCCTCGTCCCCGCCCGCCTCGCCTGCCTTTCCTGCGACTCCTCTTTCCCGTCTGTGCCGACGCCGCTGACTAACCTTCGCCGGCCTCCCCTCAGCCGGGTCGCCTCCTCCGTGGTGCTGCCGCGGCGCGTGAGGCTTCCGCCCGAGCCCTCTTTCTGAGGTGAGAGAGGCCTGCCTTCTCCCCGCCCGGCTCTTTGGGAAGAAGAAGAAGACACCCCCCCCCCGGCCTGCGGAAGAAGCTCCGTCCGGGCAGGCAAGCTGGCTTCCGACGACGACGACGACGGCGCCGCCGCTGCTGCCGCCATGCAGCCCTGCGCCACGACGGGCGGCTCCAGCGACAAGAAAAGGTGCGGGTCTGGGCGGCACCGCTCGCCTCCTTCACACGCCCCCCGCTCCTGGTTTCGGGAAGAGGGCCGGCCCGCCTTTGCTTGCTTGCTTGCTTACCCCGATATCTTTAGTATTATTCGTATTGTTTTGTGCCCCCGGAAGCCGAGCGCGCGCGCGGAATTAGATGTTGGAAGGACAAATATCCCCTTCCCTCTCTTTCTCTCTTGCTTTCCCACCAGCCTTTCTCCTCCTGTTCTCCCTCCAAGTCAGGCCATTGGGGAAATAATAATAACAATAATAGTAATAATATGCTTTCTTCCCACGTCCAAATTCTCTTCTCTTCTCTCCCGGCCGCCCCGCCGCCGTCTAAACCTGGTTTCTCCTGTTCAAGATTTCGGATCCCTCTTTATTATCGTTCTCTCTTCTTTTTTATACCTAGCTGGGCTTCAAAGAAGATGCTTTGCCATTTTGCAAAAGCGAGGAGGGGGCGTCTTGGGACGCTCCTTCCATCAGGGTGTTTCCCCCCCCCTTCTTTTTGGCATCCTTCCTCCAGGGTCCTGTCATCATTTACCTTCTCCATCTTCTATTATTACTATTATTATTATTATTATTATTATTATATTTTATTTTATTTTATAACGTAGCAATTCTAGCAGAGAAAAAGTGTGTGTGAGAGAGAATAGAGTTACTCTCTACTCCTTTATGCCCTTTCTGTGTGTGTGTTCCTGGCAGCGCCCCATCTTTTCTCTCCCCCCCCCTTTGTTCTTATCTTAATCCACCCCCCTGCCTCTTTTCTCATTCCTCCTGTTTCCTCATCCTTTCTTCTCCCTGGAGGGTGTTTCACTTTCTCCTCTTCTTCTTTCTTTCCCTCCCCCCCTCCAAAGTGTCCACGTCGCCATTTTGTTGGAGGGGGTGGGGGGTGAGAGGGTTTGGGGGGGGAATAAAACGAGAATCCAGGATATAGAAAAGTGGAGGGTGCCCTTGGCTTGTTAATCAGCTCAACTTTTCTTACAAGATTAATTTTATCTTCGCTGCCTCCCCAGGGTAGACCCCCAACATTTTGAAATTGTTGCTTTAGGCTGAATGTAAAACCTGGCTCGTTTGAAATGAGGGGACTACAAGCATTGTGGTTGAGATGAGCAGTGTGAGTCCACTCTGATTTCTTAGGCACACTTGGACAGGCGAGTTATGTTAATGTGTCTTTGAGTGTTTGTAGATGGATATTAGATGGAGATGAGTCTGCCAGGGCCTGGCTGTGATTTAGAAAAAGAATGGTGCTTTGCTGTGGAGCTTTCCAAGTTCTCTGTAACCAAACCATATGGGAAAAAGTCAGTTTGAGGAAGGTATAAAATCACTGTTGGTAAGTGGATGGAAATTCCGTGCCTTTGAGTGGATGGAAAGTGAGAGGAAAGTAATGTTTTAAAAGGCGGCCCCACGTCCTCAGACAGAACAGAAAAGTAATGTTTCTTAAGTGCATGATTTTTTCAGAAGAACAGAAATGTCTCCAGTGAAAGAGACAAACTGTTCTTTTGTATGCTGCAAAAATAATGACTGTGCAGAGAATAAAGCATATAATTCAAATGTTCAAAAATTGTTGGAATTGTGTTTCCATTGTCTTTCAAGGACAAATGCTATGATTTTTATTTTTTTTGTCATTTAGGGAGCATCCTGTAACAAGATCCACTGGGATGAGTGGGTTAGGATCCAGTGGATCTCTGGCTATGCTGAGAGGTTCCTGGTGTAGCCAGCTATGTTGGCTTAACTCCCTCACCCTCTGGTCAGCTGGAGGAGGTATGTCCTTATCTCCCCCATCAAGCCTGGTGGATCTTGAGCTGGTGTAAGCTCAGAAAGAGGAGTATTCTGGGGATGTGATTGGGACAGAACCAGAGTGGGGGGGACGACTTAGACTGGATCCTAAACCCATTCAGCCTGGTCAGATGACAGACATAAATTAAGCCAGCAAAAAGGGTGGGTTAACTCAAACACTACTTTAAAAGTCTGCTTTCTTTCTGCCAGGCTCAGTCACAGTAGTCGCCCCACCACTGAATGCAGTTTGGAGTATATTTATGCCATCTTATTGTATATAGGATTGCTCCCTTAGTCTGTTGCAGGTGTAACTTAGTTTTAATTCTAAATGTTGCATTACTTGCCTAACCCTTGAGATGGAACTTGCTGAAAAGTTTAAATAACAGTTACAAAATTCTCATGGTATCCTGGAAATCACTCTTGTTTTCTGTAAATGTTAGTAAAAGAGGATACAAGCAGCCTTATATCAAGGGTATCAGCAGATTAACTTTTTTGACCTGTGATCAGATATTTTAATACCAATACAGTAATCAGTTTCTGAATCAGGGATGGGCAAACCGGCCAGCCAGTGTGGTGAATGGTCAGGGATGGTGGGAGTTGTTGGAAAGTGCACATTGGCTACCCCTGTTCTAGATGGTACTTCCGAAGTCTTTCCCCTATGTTCTGTAACTCCTGGTGTTGTAGTTGCTCTCTATTTGCATCAGGTTCTCCCATCTATTGCTTCAGACTACAAGAGGCAGACTTGTTCTTCTCTGTAGTGGGGATGAGTCACTGAGAATGGAGGACGCTGAGAAAGAGAAACTGCAGTTCTTTCTTTTGGCAAGGGTAGCAGAGGTTATTCTAAACACCAGAATTACCCACATATTTCCCTTAATTGCTGGTTCCCGTGGCATGTTCAGAACGAGTTGGATCTTCCTATGGTAATTACCTTGGATTTCCAAGTGATAAGATCCTGTAGTAATTTGCAGATGTGTAGTAAGGTTTGCCATTATATATTTGTGAAGATTGGGTGGCAATTTTTTATTATTTTTAAATTCGACACCAATCCTTTTTCTGGTGGATTAAATTTCTTAATCTCCCATTGGCAGAAGGCAGTGTTTGTTTATATTGATAGCAATGCCATTTCTGCAATTTGAGATGGTTAAATGAGTTCAAGCTGTAACATTTCTTGCTGTTTAAATGGTGTTACTGGGACTGGATAAAACACTCGCTACACTGTAATACCTTCAGATCTTGGAGAAGTGTAATCTCCCTAAAATTGACCAGTGGCTAAGAAGAGGGTGGGATGTCATGGTTGTGAACAGAATTATATGCCAGAAAGGATGTGGGAAGAGAACAAACAATTCAGACTTCTCAACAAAATTGGTGGCTTTTATTATGGTTTGGAATAAAAACATTGATTATACGACAACAATAGATATTCTTCGCATTATATAACTGGATGATATTTGTTTTAAAATAGAATGTTTGATATGATGTACAACCAGACGAAAATATGCCTTTTTAAACTTTAACTATGAGTTTGACCAAACTGCGGGAGGCAGTGGAAGACAGGAGTGCCTGGTGTACTCTGGTCCATGGGGTCACGAAGAGTCGGACATGACTAAACAACAACAAACTTTAACTGTAAATATTTATGGATACATGTACACATGCAGTTTGTATACTTGATAAGAGGGTAAATTGTACAGGTATAACTATTAGGAAGCAAAGTTTGTCTGTGTTCACGAAGATATACAGCTAATGTGCTGAACCAGTGCAAAGATTAAATTGCTTGTTTCTGATGTGTTCAAAAATACATTGTTTTAATATCATCATGGGATGGTCTGATATGAAATTGCCTTGCTGACTGTGGCCAGAAGGTGATTGTGGGAAGACCACAATTTTAAGGCATGAAGGAGATCTCCTGGTGTCCACAAACGTCCCTGGTTTAGAGGAAACAGTAGATGCATTGCAGCTCCTATCTTTAGAGAGCAGCCTTGTGTGTTGAAATCTGGTGCTACACATTCCTCTCCTGGGTCTTGGTGTGAACATTCAGTTTGTAATTAAAGAGGGTAGGTGAGACCTGTTTGCTCTTCTGTTAAGGGCTGTAGTTATTTATGCTGGTGTGGAGAGTTCTACAAAAAAACAACAACAACCCACCACATACAAAGGAAGGTAACTACAGATTATCTGAGAGGAAACTCTGGATTGTTTTGTAAGGTTCACAGGCATCAGTTATGTTCTCTGGAAATGCCTTTCCCCAACAATAAACTTATTTACACAAATGTAGTATGAAACCTGCAGCCCCTCTGGATCTTGCTTGGAAGCCACATAAATGATTTCTTCATGTAAATTTCATTAGTGTTTAAAAGGTTTCCTCATGCCCAACACACTTCTAAATGCTGTATGTTCTATAGGTGAAGGTAAAGGGACCCCTGAGCATTAAGTCCAGACGTGGACGACTCTGGGGTTGCGGCGCTCATCTTGCTTTATTGGCCGAGGGAGCCGGCGTACAGCTTCCGGGTCATGTGGCCAGCATGACTAAGCCGCTTCTGGCGAACCAGAGCAGCACACAGAAACGCCGTTTACCTTCCCGCCAGAGCGGTACCTATTTATCTACTTGCACTTTGACGTGCTTTCGAACTGCTAGGTTGGCAGGAGCAGGGACCAAGCAACAGGAGCTCACCCCATCGCGGGTCTGATCGGCAAGTCCTAGGCTTTGTGGTTTAACCCACAATGCCACCCGCGTCCCTTCTATAGAGGTGTGCAAATAGCTGTTACTTTATGCTGATACTGTTGGGTTTTTTTTAGCACACATCAGGACTTTCGACTCATTAGTGCTGGAGTGGGATGAAAGTATATGATACAGGAGATTCAGATGTCCTTACAAACAGCTATGGGCTCCCCAGAATGGAACTCCTGTGCAAGAGGGTTTTATCCCTTTCTCCAGTCTCTTACCCAGCGGGGTGGGGGGAAGCAGTTTGAGGGGACAGATGGACAAAGTGATTTGATCAAGGAAACAACATAGGAGGAAGGGTTAGTCTCCCTCCCACTAGTGCCCCAATCCCCCCCCCCCCAGCTGCTTCTTATTTCAGAAAGGAAAGCTGCTTGGAACTGGTCATAGGTTTCCCATGTTCTGCCCCATAGGCATCTCTTTGACTAGGATTGTTTGGCAAAGATATGAACACAATAGCATTTGTATTGAAGCCTAGGTGCAACTGTACTTGCTTCA